CTGTCGCATTTGTTTTAGATTTAATAAATAAATAATAAATGTATTTAATTTTAATAACAAAGAATTTAGTAAAATTAATCCCAATTATTTTTTTATCAGAAATAAAACATACCATGTTGACTGACATATTCACCAATTTCATCTGCAATTGTGGGATCTAATCCTTTCTCATCAATCATTTCTTTTCTGACTTCTTCCCAAGACATCTAAAATATTTTAAAATATTTAAAAGTCTTGATACGTCATAAATTCATAATTCATATCTATTAATGTTGAATTAAACTGAAGATTATATTAAAAGTTTTATTTACAAAAGAAACATCTAATAAATGGATTTATAATTTTATTATATTATTCAACTGAATATAATGGATGAATCCTTAAAAGTATTTTTTAATTTGTATATTAAAGAACTTCAGTTAATAGCTGTTTATGTTTTAATCATGTAAATTTATCATAAATAACTTTCAAATTTATAATATCATAAAGTTAATAAATTATGTTACTTTTTATAAAAGTGTATATGTTAACTTTTCTTTAAATGTTTAAGATATTAAATTACCTTATTTACTCGCATATAATATGATCTCGCATATAGGATGAGGTGTGACTTTAAAGATCAAAATAATGAAAATTAGAATTGTATTAATAAATCTAATTTTCATTATTTTGATCTTTAAAGTCACACCTCATCCTATATGCATTTATTTCATTTAATCATAAGTAAAATATCAAATGAACATAAATGCACACATTGTCCTGCAAAAATTACTGGTATTTTAAACTTTAAGGAAAAATCTTGTAAAATCAACAACATAATTTGTTCACGTAAAACTGAACAATCGGGAACCTTTTTTTTTCCAATTCTTAACAGTCCATTGATTACACTTATGAGTTTCTCCGAATTCTGATTTCCAAATAATCATCTGTTTTCACATGGGAATGGATTAAAACTTATATTGTGCTCCTGTGTGATTTTAGAATTTCAATCTGGAATTCAATTCAAAAGCTTTGCTTTTCCTATTCCTATTCATCTTTACTCCTGACAATATACAAGAACGATTCAAACGACCCAGATAAAATACTTATGTTTTTAAATACAAGACATCTGGTAAGCATCTGGTAAAAAATACAAATACATGGTTCACAAAAATTATTTGCAAAAACGCAAAGAATCTTTCACTTGCGCATATAGGATGACCTAGGAATTTTAAGCTGTGATAAATGAATAAAAACCTCATCTTATATGTGAGTAAATATGGTATATCAAAAATTAAAATGATATCTCTAATCTTGAATTTTAGATTGTTTTATTAGATTTATGAATGAAACAGCTAATGAGATAAAATTTTAATTATATCACTATCAATTTTTGTTGTTTGCTGAAAATATGAAACTGCTTTATTTTGCTTGAAACATAAAGTGAAATTTCCATATCTTAACTGATAAACAATGAAAATAGCATTAATCCATTCAATTAATTAAATATTTTAAAAAATTGTTCTTCAATTACAGTTTATTATTGGTACACTAAATGCATTAATAAGTTAAAATAATTAATAAAGATGAGAAACTCAAAATGTTTAGAGAATATACTAAATAAATATGTGCATCTTGTAAGATCTACAAACTGTATTTTATATTTTGCTAAAGCTATACAATAGCTGGAATACATTGAGCTACATTTATGCTACTAATTACTAATTATAAATGTCTAGTAATTTGACCCAAAGGTAGGCAACTGACTGTAATCTGGCAATCATTTGGCTTTAATCTGAATTTGGGTTTGTAGATGTTTATTTTTTTTTATATTTTGTATTGTTAATTCTTAAATATCTGATCTATTGAATAAAAATTCATACATTAGTCAAAATTATGTTGATGTGTTTTAAGAATGCATTTAAATTGGAATTCTTGTTTTTGAGAGATAATGTAACTAAAATATCCTATAACTATAACACAATTTTTTGAAGTTTTAGTAAAATACAGGTAGGCCTCCTACAACGCGGTAGATATGTTCCTTGAAAATACCGCGTTGTGGAAAATCGTGTTATAGGAGACACTAACGCAATACAAAAACTGGATTCGGTTCTAAAAAGAGAAAAACTTGGCGTTTGAATGGCATTTTTTGAATTTTTCAAACCAGCCATTGGTAGCCACAATTTTAACACTGGTTTCATCAGCTGACCAGTGGCGTAGTGTAGTGGTGGTGGCAGGGACGGCACTTTTAGGGGGGGCAAAATTTCACAATAAATAATAATAATATCTTGTAAAAATTTGAATCATTTCATTTCATATTTTTGTCGCACCTACGATTCGAACTGATTGAAATGAGCACGAAATTGTTCATTACTTATTCTGTGACAAAACTGAATTTTAGTCTTTTAAATTGAGATACCTAAATAGGGGGCAGTGAAATTTTCCTCCGCCTCGGGCGGCTGACACCCACACTATGCCACCGCAGCTGATGACTGTCCCATTTGTTTTAAATAATCAAATATTTTTAAGGCTTTGTGTTTAAGTGCAGTTTTATTTAAAGGAAACCATTTCTTGTTCATATCTTCTACCCATAATATTAGCGTTTGTTCCATTTTTTACATTATAGGTGCTCTTGGACAAGCAACATTTTTCGCAAGAATAGATGATCCAGATGTGACCAAATTTCTAATCTTTTCTCCCGATTGCTTAATCGACCGAATGGTCGACTCATTTAAATTAAAATGCCTACTGATATCAGCTATCACCTCTTGGTTTTTAATTCAATCCAAAATTTCTAGCTTTGAAAAGTTATAAATTTCCTTTTTAACGATGGTCCTTTGTTTTCATTCGGGATTGTTATGACTAAAATTTTTTCAATCAGTTTTGTAGACAGTAAAAATCGCAAAAAATAACTTTTCTTCACTATGTTGTTAAAAATATACACCCAATAGAAGTTTATACTGTATGTTGGACCATTTTTGCTGTCCCCACTTATTGAAACAGTATAAATGATGGAAAATTTAGTGATATATTTGANTTTGTGTTTAAGTGCAGTTTTATTTAAAGGAAACCATTTCTTGTTCATATCTTCTACCCATAATATTAGCGTTTGTTCCATTTTTTACATTATAGGTGCTCTTGGACAAGCAACATTTTTCGCAAGAATAGATGATCCAGATGTGACCAAATTTCTAATCTTTTCTCCCGATTGCTTAATCGACCGAATGGTCGACTCATTTAAATTAAAATGCCTACTGATATCAGCTATCACCTCTTGGTTTTTAATTCAATCCAAAATTTCTAGCTTTGAAAAGTTATAAATTTCCTTTTTAACGATGGTCCTTTGTTTTCATTCGGGATTGTTATGACTAAAATTTTTTCAATCAGTTTTGTAGACAGTAAAAATCGCAAAAAATAACTTTTCTTCACTATGTTGTTAAAAATATACACCCAATAGAAGTTTATACTGTATGTTGGACCATTTTTGCTGTCCCCACTTATTGAAACAGTATAAATGATGGAAAATTTAGTGATATATTTGAGTGTTTACGGTAACTGATGCACTAGAAACCGGTCTTCCCCTGAAACTTTCAAGGGAATAAATAACATGCCAACAGCGACAAACAGCTGTTTTCAAGGACATTTAGTTCTGTATGCCAAATTGTGGTTCGTATCATGTGATCTGTTGCGATTTTTCTGTTATGTGAAAGATAATTCATTTCTAAATACCGTAAACTGCATTGTAAGAAAATTTCCACATTTTTCCAACCGCGTTGGAGCGAAAATGCATTGTAAAGGTACCACATTGTAGGAGGCCTACCTGTATTTGCAATTATAGTGTATAAGGCATGTTTATGAGGATAAAGACACTTTTTCAATTTTATGAAAAACTTCATAAATTCCTAAGTTGTAAGAACAAACTATTATTTAATTAAATTACTTATAATAAGTAACAGATTCCTAAAATTTCCAATAGAAAAGTGATGTTTTTGGAAGTTTACATGTAAAAAACTAAGAAATTGTAGCTATTACAATTAAGAATTTATATACTAGTTATATATTTTTAGATTAATTTACTTTTTAATAGCATTTTATGACTAATTTAAAAGTAGTACTAAAAGTTATAATTCTTATAACTTCTTAGGTGCTTCTTTTCAGTTATTTCATTTTCCAGTTTTAAGTTTATATAATTGATGACTATTTTCAAATAATCATTACAAAATTTTACTTTTTGATTAAGAAGTTTATTATTTTTGATCATATATTTTTACTAACACCATTAAAATGAAACTTTCAACAATATTTAAATGTTAAAAAATATTTTTTGAGATATCAACAGTAGGGATTGCAAACTTATACTTTTTTATCAACCTATAAAATTGTAAATTTTCAAAATGTTATCAGTTTATAGTAAACTAGCTTGCCCGTTGCGCATTGCTGCGATCTCAGAAGAAAGGANATCCAAAATTTCTATCTTTGAAGAGTTATAAATTTCCTTTTTAACAATGGTCCTTTCTTTTCATTCGGCATTGTTATGGCTAAAATTTTTTCAATCAGTTTTGTTGACAGTAAAAATCGCAAAAATTAACTTTTCTACACTATGTTGTTAAAAATATACACCCAATAGAAGTTTATACTATATTTTGGACCATTTTTGCTGTCCCCACTTATTGAAACAGTATAAATGATGGAAAATTTAGTGATATATTTGAGTGTTTACGGTAACTGATGCACATCTGTCTAGAAACCAGTCTTCCCCTGAAACTTTCAAGGGAATAAATAACACGCCAACAGTGACAAACAGCTGTTTTCAAGGACATTTAGTTCTGTATGCCAAATTGCGGTTCGTATCCCGTGATCCGTTGCGATTTTTCTGTTATGTGAAAGATAATTCACTTCTAAATACCGTAAATCGCATTGTAAGAAAATTTCCATTTTTCCAACCGCATTGCAGCGAAAACGCGTTGTAGGAGGCCTACCTGTATTTGCAATTATAGTGTATAAGGCATGTTTATAAGGATAAAGACACTTTTTCAATTTTATGAAAAACTTCATAAATTCCTAAGTTGTAAGAACAAACTATTATTTAATTAAATTACTTATAATAAGTAATAGATTCCTAAAATTTCCAATAGAAAAGTGATGTTTTTGGAAGTTTACATGTTAAAAACTAAGAAATTACTTTGACTAAGAAATTGTAGCTATTACAATTAAGATTTTATATACTAGTTATATATTTTTAGATTAATTTACTTTTTAGTAGCATTTTATGACTAATTTAAAAGTAGTACTAAAAGTTATAATTCTTATAACTTCTTAGGTGCTTCTTTTCAGTTATTTCATTTTCCAGTTTTAAATTTATAAAATTGATGACTATTTTCAAATAATCATTACAAAATTTTACTTTTTGATTAAGAAGTTTATTATTTTTGATCATATATTTATACTAACACCATTAAAATGAAACTTTCAACAATATTTAAATGTTAAAAAATATTTTTTGAGATATCAACAGTAGGGATTGCAAACTTATAATTTTTTATCAGCCTATAAAATTGTAAATTTTCAAAATGTTATCAGTTTATAGTAAATTACAAGTAATTTTTAAATTTTGATGCAAATGCAAAAATTAGCATACTAGTGACTGTTTAGTTGCCAATTCAACTATAAGTCAACAACTAAATAACCTTGAATGCTTTATGACCAATTGAATTCCCTTTTTTTTCTATTTTGAAAAGCAAAAGTTATGTTGCAAAAAAAAATAGGCATGCTAGAATTTTTTAGTTGTCTTGATTAAAAATTAGCCAGTGCAAGTGCTAACATTTAAATAAATATATTCCATTTTGTCAACTAAAATTTTATTGCATTCTAGGTATTATAGGTTAGAAACAAATTGCCAAATTGTCAAGAATGGTATTGTAATATGATACTTTAAAAATTGTAAAGAACTGTAAAGTATTAATATAAAAGATAAATGATATAAATTACTTTTATAGTTTAAATAAAAAACATTTGACACTTCTATAAAAATGTAAATATTAGTATATGTGAAAGTATATATAAATAAATATTTGGCTTCAAAAAACTATTGTGTTGTTTTTTGAAGCTAAATATCTATTGTTTTACCAAGTTTACCAGTAAAAAATATCAAATTTCCTGTATATTTATTGATGTACTTTTTACCTGATTACTGGTAAACCAGTAAACTATTTATCCAAACATAATGCAATCTCCAATCAATAGCATAGGACAAACACAAATGAGGTTTAAACTATCTAAAGCTTCTGGAAATGAAATTTTCTCATCTGTTAACTCAATTACAACTGTAGATAATGTCAGCAAAATAAGTAATAAAGAAATATAATTAATAAATATATAACAACATATTAATTAACCAATTTATAATTTGTTTTGTTTCGTATTAAATTATTATTTTATATGTCAAAAATATAATATAATTATCTTATTCCTAATAAATATATCATCATATATTTGTTTAGTTTTATTCTGTATTATATAATTTATATCACTTGTTAACATAATGTATAAATATATATATAAAACAAGATATAAACATATAATTTTCAAAATATAAATATACTGTATATTTTGGAAATACTATACAGATAACAAATATGGTATATATTCAATGTACGTCAATCAATTTTGAAACCTTGTTTTGTGTTGTTGGTACTATGCTGTATAAATATAAAATTGAGTTATATAATCGCTTGGTATATACATTGGGTTTATATTCTACATGTATACTCTATTGTACTTACTTTACAATATGTCCATCGTTACTCTGTATATTGTCAATTGTTATTTATGTATATATACATGTATTTAGCGTATATACTAAGATTGTATACTAATCTATTTAAACTACATCCTATCAATATATTCTATATTCCATATAAATACCAAAACCTACAGAAATATTCTGTATTCAGTGTATATACCATGCCTGTAGTTTGTATAAGTAACCCATCTTTTGTATACCATCACTTGTATTCTACAATAATGTTTTCATTTCAACACATCTTTTTGTATTTCTCCCACTCTCAATTTATTGTATATTTATATTACTGTATTAACTTAAATAATTATTGTTAACTGTATTACTTTCTGTACTTTGTAACCCGGCTACGCTTAGCGAACTGGGAATATACTAATATCTAGTATGTTAAATAAAAAAATGAGGATGATGATGATGATGATGTAGATAATGTCAAAGAGATGACATCAAATTCTCTTGCAACATCATTTTTCTTCCTGGCAACCATTTTTTCAAAATTATTAATTTTTCATTTAACATAAATTGACATAATTTCTCAATTTTTTGTTCATCTTAATGATATAAAAACAAAAGTAATTAATTTTGTTATGAATTGCAATAACAATAAATCACAAGCAGTAGAGAAATTGCAAAATATGTTTTCTATGCACTATTCCTGAATAATAAAGGGAGTGAAGTGAGATGAATTTTACCAAAGTAAGTAAATTCTACTTATCTACAGTAGAAATTTTAAGCATGATGATAAGTTAATATTTGTTAAATAATTGATTTTACTAAAATAAAACTTAATTTTTATTCAATTTATGAAATAAATTAATTCAAATACAAGAAAATTACTCATTATTCTAACATAACAAATGTCATTATTACGAAATTTGTTACATTAAAATTTAACCTGATAGACATCATATACTGAAAAGATATTATGGTTAGTGTCTTCATAAAAGTGATACAACCTTATTATAAACTTTTGCCAAAGACTATCGTACACTCTATCCACATTTCAGTTCTAGCCTCCTGCATGTTTGGAAAGTGACTTATACTTTACAGTGGATATAGGTGTGAATCAGAATTTCATGCTGGAAATCATGCGATTGACTTATATATCTGTATTTATGGTATACGGAAAAATTTTAACTTCTTGAATTCTTTCACATAACAGATTTATTGATATAAGTACATTTAATTACTGCTAGAGATAATTATCAAAATAGAAATGTTCTGTTGTTACCTTATAAGAACTCAATATTTCTTTTTTTAAGTTTAAAGTATTGATAATTAACAAAGATCTAGATAAAAAACATTAAATGTAAAAAATAATGACAGATTTTCTAATAAAAATGAATAAATATTAATTACATATTTAAGCCACTTTTATCTATAGAACTGAATTAATGAAGTTTTGTAACAAAGTAATTTCAACTGTATAATGATAAACTTAGTATTAATGAATGAAAATCTATTTTAAATTAAATATATTGAGGTTACCTTATCCAATTTATCCACTGATGAGCATATTGTTCTGAATTTTTCTGAAGGAACACCACAAACTTCAAATATACCATCAAGTATTTGGCGATGATTTACCTATAAAAAAAAATTTTATTCAATTAAATATTAATACTTTATTTGATATTGTAATAAATAATATACTGTATTTACTTTAATCCAACATGTACCATAATTTCACCATGGGTTTTAATATAGACAACTCAAGTTGTCAACAAAGTTGTCAACAAAACTGAATCTGTTGACATATATTTGTTCAGTATTTATTGCTAATGAAGTAAGTTATATATCAATGTATTATTTAGTATTTAAATTGAAAAAAATTTCTTCACTTGCTGTGTTAGGCTCTTCCTACTCAACGTGTATAATGTACACTTTTTTGCCCAAAATTGCCAAATTTGGGCAAAAAGTGTACACTATACATAATAAAATATAGTAAATAATAAAAATAAAAAATCTAAACACTTTAAAAAGAAAATTTCATTAAATTACTGTTTCATTTTTATTTTATAAATAAGAAGTTAAATGTTGAAACTTTTCAATGTAATTCTTTGATAAATTAATATAAAAAATGTAATTTTTCATTGAAAAACAAAACACTAAATTTTTGTAAATTATATGATCTTTATATCTTACCTTGACCAAAAAACTGCCAATATCCAAACTAGACAAAATTTCAACAACTATTCGAACACATTCTGCATCAGGAAGCATTAAATCATACTGACCAGCAATATCAAAATCCTATAAAATGAAAGATTATTTTAAAATAATAATATTAATAACTAATAAAAGAAATAAAGTGTTTCATTTTATTATATAATCATATAAAACAATTCATTTCTTATGATATAAGTGCTTATCCAAATAAATGAAAAGATTCAGTAATAAAAAATTAATTGAAGATTAATAAAGGAAAATTAAATTTTTAATTTTCGCAACATTGTATAAATAACTCAAAAATGAAAATGTGTAGTATGCATAAGAAAATGACAGCTGTGAGATATCTGTAATTTGTATGATTTATATATGACAATTTTATGCTGGTTTACTCTTTTTCAGATCATCATGATATTATATTTACCAAACATGAATAATGATCATAGATGAAAATTGAAATTGAAGTTACTTGAAAATATTGTTGTTGACAAGACTTCATGAGATATGCAAAGAAAATCTATTCCACATTTAAAATGAGAGTGATAGTTTTCAAAGCCATGAATATGTGGCAATATTTCTTGTTTCAGACATCTCTGTGTTCACACATCACACAAGAACTTGCTACAGTACACTTTTAATATACAAATGGTAGACTCTTAGGATTTTGTCTTTGATAACAATATTGTTCATAAAACTAAAGTGAACATTTTAAAGAACACCTATATATGTAGTAAAAAATCACAAACTAGATAGTCAAACTTATTCATCTCATAAAGATTCAGAAATGCCATTACTATGCAATTTAAACAGTATAACTAAGAATATGATATATTCAAATTCAGAATTACATTGGAAAAATAATGATGTTCTTAGGAAATGAAATTAATGCAACAATCTCAAAGTGACAATATTCAATATCTCAAGAAGTATGACAAAAGCCAAGGAAAAAAAAATCAAAATTACACTGATTGCAATATTTGATTGGAATTCATCAATATCTTATTTCATTCCATAATTCAAAATACAATATTCTCTCTATATTATAAGCAATTCTTGAAAAAACATCTCAGATTAGCAATAAAACAAAAATATCTTCATTTACATATCAATAAGCCAATCACTTGCAAGAAAACACATACTATCAAGTTGTAAGGACTTCATGCATCATTAACATAAGCAATATCATCATATCTATTTTCCTGATAACAGTTCTTGCAAATTTGATTTGTTTATCAAAATGAAGAAAGCATTGTATGATCAATATTATTATAACTTATGTAAATTCTTATAAATGTCAATCAGAACTGCTTAACAGATGCCAGTGAATGATGATAATAAGAGTGAGTATTTCGAAGACATTTAAATAGTAATTTGGTAAAAGAAAAAACATTTCTACAACACATACTTTTATTAAGAATGTTTTTATGTTGTACAATATGACCAATTAAATATAATACAAACATTAATAATATAAAAGCCATTGTCTGTGTGTGTGAATTCCTTATAACTCTTGCAATTTTTGTCCAATTCACATGAAATTTTGGTTATATTCATTTTATGTTCTGACAAAGTATATGCTACCTATTTTGCAGAAATATTAGCTATAGAATAAATGTTTTATCAATTTTATATTGATGATTACAAGTTATGTCAGCAACCTCATTTAGTTCATGCTTGATGATGGAATTTCCGTTAAGTTGCATTTTTAAATATTTAGGCAAATGGCATATTTTAAACGTACTTCATTAAATTTAAAATTTAAATTTAAGATAGCTGCATCATGTAACTTCTATAACAAAATGTTTTTAAATCTTTCCATAGTGACCATGTGACCTTCTATTATCCAATCGAAAGTAACGATCTAATGAGCCCATTATTTAAAAAGTATTACTGCTCATCTAACTAACGTATATACAAGTCATCTTTGTTTCTTCAACATGGAATTAAAAAGACTCATTACTTTGTCCAAAAAAGAAAAAAACCCGCAGAGGAAGTGTTTTGTCCACTCCAGATGAAATTTTATTTTGTTGCTCTTTATGTTACAACAGATAATATAAACTTCTTAATAAGTAGAAATATTAGCAAATCTTGAATTTCTTGAAATCTCTACTTTTCTCAATTCTTCAATCACTACTTTCTCATAAAAAGTATTCAGTCATGCTTGACAGGGAAATTTCTAGTTATAAGTATTAAGTTTCATTTACTAATCTATTATCATCATTTCTTACTAATTATGAATTTATCTAAAGAATACAAATTTACATATTATTCCTTTTGAGCTTATGTTGTCTCTATTAATAATTTTTTTCAATTAAACTGAATAATTATATACTAATATACTATCACTGCACATCAGGTTGTATATAATACAATAAATCTGACTTACGGAACCTTTAACCGATGTGTGTCACTTTTTCTTTCAAAAATCAAACGTTTTCCTAACCCTTTCTGGGTTCTTCATCAGGATAACAGCTGGATCGAATATCGATTTCAAAAAGTTTTAATGATTCCGAACTTGACTCGTTCTATTCGCTTAATCCGTCACGTGATGTAATTGAAATTGTTCTATTTTTGACGGTCGATGTTCAAATTTAAGAGAACGATCCAAAACATGTTATTGAGATATAACGATTATTTAATATTCTCGTGTTCCCTAATATCATTTATTTTTACGGCTCAATATAATTTCGTTATCACTCTTTATGGAGTAGTTTTTGCCACGCCCTGGAAANGATCACAACAGTATTGAATCTTTCTTGATATACTATTCAGTTGATGGAATATTTCTGATAAGACTTCACAAAATTCAATCTATTAGATATAATTAACCAGAATTTAATTACTAAAAATTGAAATTCTGTCATTCATCAATCTGGCCCATAAGCAAAGATATCTTCAAAATTGAAAATCAAATAAACAAGAAAATTCTTTGAAATTTTTAGCTTTTATTCACAATGTTGTTATAACTAAATTTCAAAAACTACAAATATCTATTATATGTTTTGCTTTGGAAATATGATTTTATTTGATTATCATAACATATCAGTGTCTTTTATTTTATCAAAGAAAATTACATAAATATCAGATAATGAAAAATTAATTGAAGGAAATATATTACTTCAAAATATAGAAAACTAATTACATTATATAATTTCAATAGTTATATATTTTATTTTCCTTAGTCAACTTTAACATTATGTAAATATTTCTTAATTCAGCCAGTATTAAGAGTTTATTTTATGCTTATCATGGATTTGGCTAGTCCCACAACAGGACAACCAGATGGTAAAGGATGAAGACATGTTTCATGAAAATCTTGAGGAATCATCCCAACCCAGATTTAAATCCAAGTTTCCAAAAATGACAGACTAACATTTTTACTGCTTTGACTATATGGCTGTCATACAATATTACTTAAAACTGAAATAAAAGTATATTTAGGAAAGCAGAAAAATATTATGTTTAATTATGTTATAAATTAATAATCATGAATTATATAAATATTCAGTTCTGAAAAGTTGCTTTAAAAAAGACAAATTGCATATAGAGAAATACAATATAGCAAATTACTATTAGTTATTAATGCAATATAAATTGTAAATAATGTATAAAAACCAACACAAAAAAGCAAAATAACAAACAATAATGAATTATTTTGATAAATATAAAATAACCAGTTACTTACACATTGATAAAATTCTCGATATCTTCCTTTAGTCATGTATGGTTTATCTCTTCTATATACTTTTCCAATATGATAGCGTTTAAAATTTGTAATTTTATTCATAGCAAGAAATCGTGCAAAAGGAACAGTTAGATCATAACGTAATGATAAAATTTCACCACCTTGATCAGCAAGATCATAAATTAATTTGCTATCTTCACCATATTTTTCTGTTAAAGTCTCCTAAAAAAATTTGAAAAATTTTTAATGATAGAAAAATTAAAATATAAAAATAGACAAACAAAAAAAAAATTGATTTTGCTGTTTTTGATTTCAACAATAATTCTTAAAAATTTTTAGTGATTAAAATTTTAAAACAGTTTAAATTTTTACTTTTAACTTTAAATATAAATTTATGAATCACATTCTTTATATTTCTATGAGTGTTGTCGCAAACAAATCTATTTCCCATTTCCTGGAATACTGAAGGAATGAGAGTGATTCCTATCACTTACAATTGATCTAATCAGTTCAGAAAAATTATGATCATCAATAAGATAACTAATATCTGTATCTCTCTGAAAAGTTAGTTTTGTTCACAATATTTTTCACAACTTATTATGAGACATTAGCTAATTCTAATGAATTAAGTCAGCTTTGTGAACAAATTTATTGAATTTTTCTTCTTAGTATTTAAAATCTAAAATATAATAAGTTTTAAGTTATTAAATAAAATTATGATTAAATGTGAATTGTGTAAGTGAATTAAGTATCTGGGATCCCACTTGCCACTAGTCAAATTGTTTTTTGAATAAAACTATTCNAAACACAGTTGTAAACAGAAACAGTTACTTTATAATATATAATCATTTGTTTTCATTTATGTATAATTTTTATCATATATATTAATTGTTAGTCTTTTCTATCTGTATTTTAATCTTTTGTTACAGGTGCTATTTTGGGGGGAGGATATCAATTATCTTGTGACATTTCCTTTTGTTAATGCAATATATAAACAATAAATAAATAAACTTTTAATGAAAGGATTTTCAGGTAGAATACAGGGTAATCATAATTAAAGGGTATGTGTTCAGAGTTCTCTACAGAAAGAACTATTAGGCAAATCTCAACCAAATTTTATATACATACTGTTTTAAGTATGCAGTTTCAATTTTTATGAAAAATTTAGCACTGATGTCCCTTTAATATGTATATTATGCACAACATTTTCTAATGAATTTCCAATATAAAAGGATTTGTAAAATGTTCATAATTCTTTGAAGTATGAATGATCATGCTGCTCACTTTGGCTGTTCATGTGTCAATTCCACATACCACATCTATAATTGAAATAAAATTATTGCACTTTGTTTTTTTAAATCCCAAAATTTACAAGAAAATGTACATAATACAGTCCTGGAAAAAAGTTTGAAACCACCTGGGTTTTTAAACTTCCCATTAAAATTAACTGATCTTCTGTAAATATGTTGTTGTTTAGGTATTAAAATAATCATAAACTAAATATGAAGTAAAAATTTATTTTCATATTTTCATCCCAAGCAGTCACAATTGCCTTTTCAAGATCAGAAACATAATTAAATTGATTTCCATTGGCATAAACCACCAATCACCCCAAAGGTTTTCTATTGGGTTTAAATCCTGGCTACATGGTGGCCATGGCAAAACACATATTATTCTCAGACAACCATGTCATTGTTGAGGCAGCATTATGAATAGGAGCATTATCCTATTGGAAAATAAAATGTCTGTCCATTGTTTCATCTCTTAATAGTAGATCATTTCCCAACACATCTTGATAGTCAACTGCCTTTGAACAAGATGAAATGAAAGCAATAGCTGATTTTAACTAACGAGTGAAAGCTGCCCATACCAACACAGATCCTCCACCTTGTACATGATGGGATAAAAGATGAACTTAGTGACGTCATATAATGCCAATAGTATTGCACACTATTCGGGCCAAGATGGCCCTGATACTGTACAATACTATTGGCATATACTATGGCATTATCTAGGTTAAATTTCTTCTCATCACTAAAAGCTATGTGATTTTATAAATCTGAATGGCCAACATAAATACAATGCAAAGTCCAGCTGCCTTTCCATATGCAAAATTGTCAATTTTGACAGTGATTGCATTTTAATGTATGCATGATTTGCAGACTTTTGCAGAATATATCTCATTATTCATTTCAGAATATATCTCATTATTTTTCAGAATAATGAGATATATTCTGCAAAAGTCTGCAAAAGTCTGCATTCCTAAAATCTGCTTCTCAAGTTGTATCATTAGAAAAAGAGAGAAGTTCAGATAAAAATTATACAGTCGACCCCCCTATAACACGATAGATACGTTTCGATTTTTATGAATCCATTTTCTACGAGTCCAGCCAATCACAGCCCAACACATATGCAGTTTACGGACTACGGCTGTTTGAAAGGATTCTTCCATAAAATTAATCGATTCTAGACTAATTTGACTCAACATTTCCAAAATACGTATAATTTTTTGGGAATAATCCATATAAACTATGCTATAAACAAAAAATTGTAGGATTACTTATCAAGCATGCACCGTTCGACTATGCCATTGCTTAAGCTTGTTTTCATCGTGGAGCTTGTCATCAAATGGCGCTCGCGTGCTTCCTCATAAATTATTTGTTTTGCAAAAAATTCGCTGAACTTTGGAGACATCATTAATATAAATATAATTTTTATGGACATTAAATAATAAATGGTTTTTAGTAGGTCCGCTGCTCGTTTAAACTCAACGGTTTG